GTGGCAAATCGTTCGTTCTAGCCTTCACCCACTTTCTCTTTCATAGACCGAGTTTAAGTTAACAATCGGATCTAAATGTGTCGAACCAGACATGTAATACAACGCAGCGATATCCGTGTTCCGTTATTTGCAACGTATTAAAAGAGTACTTTGAACCTTAAAACAATTTTCTCAAGCTATATATAAGATTCTACATAGTGTTGATACTTACTGTACTATTTCTATTCTTTTATCCATAAACTTCTATTCTTTCATCCATAAACTTTTTATTGTTGTTTTTGACAGAAATGTTAAGATACTGAAAATTGTAAATTAGAAAATTAAAATGTAAAAGAAATAATAAAAGAATAATTGTAATAAATAAGTCCTACGTAAAATATGATAACGAGTTACATGTTACATTTATCATCCACATATGACATACGATTCAAATTAAAACGAGACTCATTCGCAAGTAAATTACAGTATATCTTTCATCGCAGATCTTTGTTTATTTGAAATGGCATTATTTTACCAAAAATTTTATTCAAAATTTAATTCTTAATATTTAAATTTTATAAATTAATAGTAAAAATTAATTTGATATGATTAGTTTAAGCATTTCATTTTATATGTTATTGACTAGATATAAATAGAAACAATGCAATAATATAATTTAAAAAAATATAAATAATGTAAAGATAAATGTAAAAGAATAAAAGAATTTGTAAAATGAATTAAAATGGTAAATATTAATTTTTATATTAATACAGAGATAAATCGAGAATAAATAAAGAATAAGACTCGTCAAGCCAAATCACATATATTTTTTTTATTCTTAAAAGGACATATTATATACATATCTCATAATAAAATATTCAGGAAGCATCAATTAATGCTCTGAAACTACATGAGCTTAGTTATCGTATTCGCAGCAGCTGACTTGACTTAGGCGCCTAATTGGCGGAGAAAGTCCTGTCAAACGTGGCGTGTACTGTAATTAAACGAACGTTTAATCGCGGTAGAGCATTTCTGAGAGCTATGGTTTGTCTCTTGAGACCATTGCAAATAACCGTAATGTCGTTGAGCACGACGCGATGAACAAGTATATACATACGTATAATGTGCCATATTTATGCTATACATGTTATATCATTTCTGCCAAGTTAGCACACGTTTTAGAATTTTACTGTGATTAGAGTTTTGATTTTTTCTCGAGAAATTCAGAAATTTCTAACATTTAAAAAAGTTTTTGATAATTAAATATAAGAGTATTAAAGATTTGAAAAACATTAACGTATTAAATGTGTCCCTATCATATTTTTATTATATAAAAAATAGCAAAACATTTTTATTTTATACATATGTACGTATCAAATAATAAGATATTTATTCTTCTATACATCTTTTATTCAAATTAAATTAAAATTAAATCGCAGTTAATTTCTATTTTATCACTTATTACATTACTTCTTGATTTATTTTCAATCACATATTATTTTTCTACGAGCATGACATATTTAAAGTGGAATTTATCATTGACATTGCTATCATATTAATATTTTATTGAGGAAGCTTGTAAGGGAGATCCTGCGATGAAAAATATACTGTAACTTACTTTCGAATGAGTCTCGTTTTAATTTGAATCGTATGTCATATGTGGATGATAAATGTAACATGTAACTCGTTATCATATTTTACGGTTAGGACTTATTTATTACAATTATTCTTAATAAATAAGCTAAGTATATCTTTCATTAATGATAAGTATATCTTTTATTAATAACAATTTTTATCACAATTATATTGAAATACACAATCACATTTAATAAATCAGATAATATAGATACAAAAACCAAAATTTTTTGTAAATAATATTATTTGTATATAAATTATTTACTGCATTTATATTTTTTTATTTTTTTTATTCTAACATTACTTATAAATTTTATAACTATTATAAATCTTTACTCAAATTTTGAACAAAATTATATTTTTTAATTTGTACCTAAAAGAACACTTTTATATATAAATTTAAAAAAATTAATTTATTAAACTATATAATTAATTAACAAGTACTGTGTTGGTGTAAACAAGATGTAAATTTACTTAATCCATTATTATATTAGGAACTTCAGTAATACGTTATTATTTTAATAAGCGTTAAATGAATTTATTGATAAAATGGTTTTATATGCATAATTTTTCTTGTTGCAATAGGAAACGGATGATATTCTTGCAAAAAAACGTAGTTGCCTCTTAACACTTAGATTATATATAATAACGCATCATTTTTATAATGTAACCAAAGATTGATTTGTAAAATATTAAAAATTTGTTTAATTGCAATTCTTCATACAAACATTAATTATGACAATCATTGAATATAAGTCTAATATGGATTCAATATTCTATTAACAATGAAGATTATATTCTTCATAATTTTAAGAAAAATATTCATTTGTTCCAGACTTCGATTTGCTGATAAATGCAAATCATCGCGCAATAAACTTTCCCGTATAATTTATCTCACCAGAAATAAACTACGGTTTCTTAGGTAGTGACGTAAATCAAGCTATTTAATTTGCCCCTTATTTCTTGTGGCTAATTCTTGTCAACCTATCCAAAAAATTGCCAGCGCGAAATACGTCTATAATAATCGTCTTACTTTCACCGAACAACGGTACAGCAGCGTGATTCAAATTTTGACGAATGCGTGCCGTTTGCACGCTTTCTTGGCGTGATGCACTTTTTTTCGAGGACACGTATCAGAAATCATTTCCGTTTCACCAATATACATGAGCTCAGTCGATCATAAACTTGTACCGTTTACAATTTCTCGAATAAATATAAATGTATTATTAAGGAAATATTATTGTACATTAGATTCGTAACTTATATAGCCATAATAAAATTTTATAAATGACGTTATTATATACGATTAAAATAATACAACTTCTATTAGTTGTTGTTATATAAATTTATAGATAAAAATTTCAAAAAGAGAGAAGATTTTTCATGTATCTTTTGGCAAAATTTACAAATTTACTTCATAACTTTAGATCTTTTTAAATGATTGATATAACAAAAGATAAATATGCAATAATAATATGCACAAATATACTATATTAAAAAATTATATTTATCTAAAATTATAAACATAAAAGATAACTGCATATATAGCGTGATATTTGTAAGGCAGAATATATCATTTAGAGCAATATATCATTTAGTTCAGAGCAAATCATACATTTAGATTTGTACAAGACTTAGGAGCTAGAATTGTATTTATCGGCGAATATTTGTTTCATCATTACATTTGACTTATGCGTTGTTGCTCAAAAAAAAATCTCAAACATGATATTTGCCATCACAGGATGTTACATGCACTTTAATGTAACATATTTAATATTTCATAATAACAGATACTATTGCATTTTGGAAGCAGAAATTACTCCGTTTTCTGTATACACTTTTTAAAATGGGATATCGGACTATTAGTACCATTTAATTCCACCGTGATTATTACACAATTTCAAGTGAGAAAGAAATTTTATAGTCATTGGTTGACCGAGCCGAAGCAGTGAAAGAAACTTTTCTTCCGTATAAATTATTACGAATAGCATGTCATTTACCGAAATATCCCGGATAATCAATGCGGAAATACAAAGTGGGAGCTTAATTTCAATTACAAAATATGTGACGACAGCCGTTTATCTTTATGATCGAGATAGAAAATCTCTCACATAATTAACATTGTAAATCCAAAAATCTAGATTTACAATTTTCTGATCTTGTCATTTTGGAAGTAAATTGCTTGCAATAGCTATGATACTTATAATTTATAAACTATGTAATGTTCACTACACTACACTACACTATTTCAGATTTATTGCGATCAAGGTAGAGGAAAAGATTATAATTACGTTCAGTGTAACGTTTATTTTATAATGAATAACTTTCATAAGATAAAAATTTAATTTGTAAAAGAAATGTGTTTCTCTTTTAAGTAATCTTGAATTTTTAGATTATAACATATTTTTGTGAAATAAATAAATATCAAATTTTAATATAATTTAATTTTCAAATTTAGAGATTAAAAATGAAATAATGATGCAAAAGCTTACTAATTTATTAAAATTATATCTCTAATATATGTATAATATTATATAAGAGATTTAAAAGCATCAAAAAATTGTTTAAATTAACGTATTAATACTTTAATCTATCACATGTGAAATCGCGTGTAACACACAATATATGAAATTAAGAGACCTTTATCTCTTCCACATTATTATGTTATATTTTTATGACATGACTTTATTACGAGGTGAAATCATATTATGATTATGTTCGAATTCATTGGCTGTAAGAAGAAACGAAAGGTCAATAGATTGGATCATCAGGACACAAAGTTACAACATTCCTGATTTCAATGACTCTGATAAATAATTCTTGCTCTCAGCGAGATTCGAGTTCTCTGTATAATAAATGGGTCGGTCATTTTCACGCGAAATAGATTAGTCTACGACGACGTGAGAATCGCGATATAATTCCCTGACTGATACCCGATTTGGTAAGGTTTCTCACAGCATGATTGCACATGCCGCGATGTTTATTGCTGTACTTATTATTACTATTACGTGTTCATTTTCAGAACGAAAATGCCATTGGTCGGACAACCGGTGATCGGTGTGAACTATTACGAGCATTCATTTTAGTGAATCAAGTGAATCTATTTTTATTCATGTTTTGCTTCGCAAAGCCTACTATATTAAAAAAAAAGTTATTAGTAAAATTAATAATACTTTTTTATAACAACACAACAAAGTTAAAAATTTTTAATATAATTATTAATTTTGCTCCTTAAACAATTTATATATATTAGTTAATATTATGCGAGGTAACATTTGTTAAGTAAGATCGGCATTAGTATCATAAAAATATTTATTATTTTTTATTGCAAAAATATCGTAGAATAAAATAAGACGTATAAAGGGATATAAATAAGGAATTTTGAATTGTAGAAAAAATATATTTATTTTACAACGCAAATTGAAACTGTTAATTGCTAACAATAATAGATAATCACAATTGTTTTAAATCTGATTACTGTATTACACATTGCGTAAGTAATACATATTACAAAAATGGTAAAAGAAAGTTACGATTTCATAAAATAATCTCATGTTTGAGAAATTATAGAATTTGTCGTAGTATTGATGTCAATTAAGAAAGTAGCGCCTCGCACACTTGAACACGGTGTGCTATTTTGAGCACCGGGTAATATTATTCAGGCGCAATGCACTCATGCATAAAAGAAAGGACGTAATATTTACGTAGGCGCAAAAAATTTAATAATTTATCACATATGAATTATGTAATATATCAAGCTTCTCCGTACTTTCACGTATAAACTCTCAAATCAAAATCTATCATAATGATATTCTCAGAGTAGAAAACTATAACTTTCTTCGCGACGTCAATCAACGACTAGAGATAATTGCGTAGGAGCTTTGCGCGCATATTCATTTTACCGTGACGAAGAAATTTACATCGCTACTTAAATTTTACGCATAGAAACGCGTATAAATCATTTCGATTTATTCGAGGCACTCCGTGATTTTCACTGCTCCTGGCACCGAAAGCGTACGGAAATGTAATCTTCACCTTGCAAAATGAAAATGAAAGCTGCCGACCATCAGCCAACGATACCACGGATGATCGTAAACGTCCAATTTTCCGCTCGGCCGTAGTTTAATAGTTTGCAAAAGTTTGGATGATGAAGGAGGTAAGCTCTCTCTGATGAGCGTTGCCAATTGCGCGGCTAACAAACCAAACCTTCGAGTGCTCATCTTCATTATCAGCTCGGCTTGCTTTAGTCGTCGCCTCCCGTCATGACTTCCATAAACTCTGAAAAGCGCGCAAAACGTGAGCGTTAGAATAATCAGGCGGCGCCTTACATTTCCCGCAGGCTGCAAACTTGGCGAACCACCCAAGGCGAGAGACTTATTGAACGTTCGATCGACTTTGCTATTAGTGCCGGTTATGTTAAGCCGTAAGCTTCGCTGACGTTGACGTACGCGAAACGAATTTACTTGGCTCGGGACTCCAACTTGAGCATATTTTAAATTGAATTACTTGGCTTTCGAAGCGTGTCACGTGTTATTGTATATTAAATATCGTAAATTGCAGTTGTTAGGTGCAACCTATAACCCTTTTTAAGAGCATTATTTTAAATGTCTTAAGTATCGGAGCACATGCCGGTCTTTAATGACATTGCGATACTGACATGTTTTTTCAGAATAACATTAAGCAAAAAGTTTTTTATAATGTAACATTTAATAACATCTACTTTAAAAAGCAAGTATATTATATTAATTATTCCAAATTATCCATTTTAATTTATTCAAAAATAAAGGTTGAATTGAAAAATAAAAATGTTAGTATAAATGACAACCTTTTCGTTGATTTTCGAAATTAATAAACAATGACACAAAAAAGATTTAAAAAATACCGTCAAAATCGAGCGTTCCTGAACCATCAGCATCGATTTCTTCGATCATTAGATCAAGTTCTTCCGGTGACAGCTTATCATCGAGTTCGTGAAGAATATCGCGAAACACTGCGGTAGTTATGTAGCCATTGCCTTCTTTGTCATATAACCGGAATGCTTCTCGTAATTCTTGTTGCATAGCTTCTGAGTCTTCCTCTACTAAGAATCTAGCAGCCAGGGTGCAGAACTCCTCGAACTCGAGTTCTCCGGAGCCTGTTAGCGTGAGAAATATATATATATATGAAGAAATATAGGAAACATGATCACAAAATCGATGGAATTTTATTTACCATCCTCGTCTACTTCTTTAATGATTTCCTGTAGCGTCTTTTCGCTGAGTTCGTAACCTAACATGGTCAATATCGTGCCCACCATGTTGGTGCCAATGCTTCCCTTCTTTTCATGATCGAAAGCATCAAAGGCTTTTTTCAATACTGTACAAAAAAAAGAGATTATATTATTCTGAATTATTTTTATTATGAAAAAAAGTATACTTACGAGCTACTTGATCCTTCGGTAAATCTTCCTGGAATTATAAAAAATATTTTATTATAAAATATTAATTATATTATAAATAAAAATTAACTTTTAATAATAAAATCAATTGATTTAAATTGATTTAAATTGAAAAATAATTTAATATTTAATTATATTAAATATTATTACAAGTATTTTTTATATTTTTAATTTTCACGCTTTCCCAAAAAATGTTGATATTTCACAAGAATTATTTATTAAAAATATGAAGATCAGAATTACCATAGCAGTGGTAAGTATTAGCGCTGCTTGTGGTAAGTTTGCGTCGACGGTTTATCTGGGTATGCACCAGATTCTGGCCGTGGACTTCTGTTTTAAGTGATCATAACGATAATCTCCTGGCACGTGATTGACCAGGTATCTGCATCCCGAGTCTAGCGGTTTTCAAATTCATCGAGGACGTTCTCCCCACTCTATTTTCTTAGCGTTTTATATTTATATAGAACGCTATAGCGTTTTATAATTATATAGAACACGTGGCAATGCATTTAATTTTGAAAATCATCCACGCCACTATTAATCATATATTTGATTCGTCAACGATCGTTCCAAAAATTCTGACATTTCTACATTAGCAAAATTAATGCAAACATATTGTATGTTATCCGTCTTGATGCAACTAATTACGATATGAAGCATATAACATCTAGATATTAATAATAATAAAATTAAAAATAAAATTTATTTTATATAATTATAACAAAATAGTTTTATTTAATAATTAACATACGTTTATACATTAATATTATTAACAGTTTATACATTAATATTATTAATATTAATAATTGAATATTTAAATATACTAGTAAACTTATAAATTGTTTTACAAAAAATTATTCTACCTTATGTAAATTGTATACTTCAATTATGATGTAATATTATCGGAATACGTGTACTTCAGACATTATACATAGAAAATAATAATAATATTAATAATATTAAACTTTTACTTCTAAATTTTTTTAGATCACAAGTAATTATACAATAGATATACATATATCAAAATTAATTCGTTATATTTTCAAATAATTGGAGTTTTAAGTAATATTATATATATAAGTAATGTTATATATCCTATCTGAAAAAGATCGTGTTAAATCAAATCGGATTTATTGTTGCCTCTTCTCCACAATGTTGATTGGTCACTTCGATCTCAATGTCTCGATATGTATGCAGCGAAATTTGCTTATTGATTTATTTAAAAAGGTTATTTGCATTTCTCAAAGTTTCAAAATTTGTTAATGAAAAAATAGCGCGCGCGAAGCGCGCGCTTTATGATGTTCTAGTATAAGAAAATTGTCATTATTAAATAAATGTTTTTATATATGTATATTGGCTATGATGTAACTTAAATTGCAAACTTCAAGAGAAATAAAATTGTTTCTCAAGATTAGTTTATATCAAAGCATACAAGTTTGCAATATTATTTATCCATTAAAATGTTTTTCCAATTTCTTTTTAAATCGCGACAGAACTAACTCCTTTTAACTAGACCGTCGCGGTTATATGATCAAAGCTTGCACCATGATTGTCGAGATTGTACAAGTAATTTATTATGAAATTTTTTAATGTCTCGGAACGGTAAAATTTACGAGCGACACGATGTGTGACTGTGATTGCAACAATAGACAAAATTGGCGTACAGCCGAAAGATTCATGAGTGAAGCTAACCTAGAACGGTTCTATGCAATAATTGTGCACTTATTCTTAGATTCCTAATTATAAGCTCATAAAGCTTGCTAGCTGCTATTATATTTAGGCGATTTTATCATTTATTCCGGAATGTAGTTGTTTGCTATTGCACGCATTATCGAGCTCTTTGATACATGCGTCTTCACTACTTTTCCCAGAAAAGTTCACAATGAATTACGCTACTGTTACAGAATCGAGTGTATGATGCTGCAGTTGATGCATGCAAAGCACGTGTGACTGCTGTTGCCAACACACGAGTGTATATTTTTAAATGTGATTTTTTGCATTAATGATAAATATAATCATAGATTTTTTGTGATGTAGCAAAAAAAATTGACGGCAACATGCACATATTTTTGTGGTCGTATTAGCAATAGTATTAAAAAAAATTACAATCCAAATGTTTTTACATCCGACATAGTTATTGTGATTTAATATTATCAAAATTTAATAGAAAATAAAATCTTATTTTTATATTAATTTTTAATGATTTTTGTGAAAGTAATAGAATTAAATAAAAAATAATTAATGTCATGTGTTTATGCATATTGTACATTATTAAAATTAAATAATTAACAAAATAATTGATATTTATTTAAAACATGATTATAATAAAAAATAAGATTAATTACATTTTTTTAAGATTTATTGTTTTATATACATTCTTTACTTAATTATTTATTAATTTTATATGTATATAATGTATATATTTAAAATTTACAACTTCTTCTTAAATATATACTTAGTAAATATAATTATATATTATGTAAGTAAAATATAATATATAATAAGTATATAATATATAATATAATAAGTAATATATATTATATATATAAACTTTTAATATTTAATTAAATCACAATTTGCATTTGAGAATGCGATATCAAAATTCTGGCATAAAGAAAACGATTTTGGCAAATTAATAGCTCTATAAATTTTAGAATATATTAATTATCATTATTTCGCTTAAAATATTGTTTCACAAATCTCAAAATCTCTTTCAAGTTTTTGACGTAGGTGCATTCTGTAAATACTGAATTATTCTCGATCATCTCTCATCGGAATTCTCAACTCGCATAATTTAGAAAAATGTAAGTTTTACGGCATCTTCTTTATGTATGATAAACGAGCAAACTTATACTCTGCCAGCACATACGACTTGGAGGAGATTTCGGCTTTTCTGTTTGTACAGGCACACTCATTGTCCGATATATGGGCGATCGACACGGTGCATCCGTGCGATGCCAAAGTCATAATTTATCCTGTCATGACCTCCATGAATTCTGTAACGTAAACGCCGAGTTAGTCAGGTATGTATAGACGAAGACGAAGTGGATTAACACCTGTGCACTACACAAGATCTTTCACCATCAAAATCAAGCGTGCCAGATCCGTCAGTGTCCACCTCTTCTATAATCATATCAAGCTCCTCCGGAGATAATGCATCATCCAATTCATGAAGGATATCTCTAAACACGTCAGTAGTGATATAACCATTGCCTTCCTTATCGTATAATCGGAATGCTTCACGTAATTCTTGCTGTATCGCTTCTATGTCAGTTTCCTCTTCGAGAAAACGCGATGCTAGCTTACAAAATTCCTCGAATTTTAATTCGCCAGTTCCTATAATGAATATCAGTTTGATCAGTTTCATCATTAATTCATGATAATCATCAATTCTACATTATATTATACTTTAATTACATTTTAAAATTTACTATTTATTTAAAAAATAATTTTCTTTGGAATTTTACAATGAAGAAGTACGAACATTTTTGAACATCTTCTAAATATGATATATAATTTGATAATTAAATAAAAAAACTTGAATTTTATTGAAGTAGATATAAAATATTTCTATCGCTCAAAGAGATAAGTCAAATGTAACTGGAAAGTGCAATTTTTCTTTCAATTTGCTTTCTTGTACATCACATAAGTTATAATATATCTTATACATATGTTAATAATAATAATTATATATTCTTACCTTCTGTATCAATTTCCACAATAATTTCTGCGAGTTCTTCTGATGAGACTTCGTGACCAAGCATACCTAAAATTGTGCTTACCATATTCGTGCTGATACATCCTTTTTTATCGTGATCAAACGCATCGAATGCCATTTGCAAATCTTTAAAAAAAAAAATTATTCTTTGATTTTTATATATTAAACATGTAAAAACTAATTATTAATAATAATTACGAATCATGATACTATCTATTAATAACAAAAATAATATTTTAACTGCGAGTGTACTTACGAGATAGCTGATCTTTGCTAAGCTGAACTTCTTCCTGTAATTAAACATTACAGTATGAATTGTTAAAAATATATTATAAAATTTGAAAAATATTTTACGATTATTATTACGTAATTAATATATAGCTTATAAATATTTGATAATAGCCTATAAATTTACGAAGTAACTACCATTTCATTAAAATTCACTTTTCCACTTTTCTTAGATTATCGGATTAATCACAAAATCGATTATTAACGTGAGTTCCGTTCTGACAGCTAACTTACTCCACCGACGAAAAAGATCTACTGAGCCATAGTAAACTAATTAGTAGCGCAATACTATAGATACACACCTATCGGTGTTAATAGATCATCGCCAATCATGTATCGAACTCAACTCGCTATAAAAAGATTCTTATTTAGGACGTCTTCACGGTTGTCTTTGCTCAAAGTAATTAACGTGCTGAAGCAACTGAATGAATATTTTGAGTTTTTTAATTGGTGTATCGATACTTTTTAAAATTAATATTACGCGATATTATTTTACTTAAATAAAATCAAATTTTTTATTTATTTTTTAAAAATTCTAGCTATACTAGAATACCTTACTTTTTGAATAACTTTTAAAAGTTTCTTATAATTGCATATTTTGATTTATTTTTGATGGAGTTTAATTTTAACTTATAATGCCCGATTCCATCAACGTAGATTAACTTTAATCTCGATTCAACTTGATTTTTTTATTTCTAAGAATTAGAAAAAGATGAAGAGCAAATTAAACCGAGATTAAAATAAATCGGGCATAAAAGAGTTAAAACTAATAATATAATAAGACAAAGATTATAGTTATAAATTTCAATTATTATTTGTTACAATGTTTCTCCTTTTATTATGAAACTTGAAAATGTTTTTTGGCTATTTTTAGTAGCCAACAGATATAACTAACATGCGTTAGATTTGTATTCAGAGATGATATAATCTAGGGAAGAATTCGTAGCATATTTGATGTTATCTTTATATGACGTGAATAGTTTCTAGCGAATCGATTTCCCCGCACATAGCGAACTATTCGCGAACATGAAAGCGGTTATACGTTGCACCGTATCATACATACAGTAGTTTGGTACTGGCATTGCATCCTTTTAGAGGATTGCAGTGGATTGCTGACAGCTTGTATATGAAAAAAAAAAAATCATCTGGCAACTACATTTAACCTCAATATATGTATGTTAATTTCTACCAGCCAATCAGATAAAGCTTCGACGTTAAATCAAACTACTGACCTAACATCTAAAAATAATATTGAGTAAGGGAATCGCTTCATACCATAATAAATGTTTGCAAATCACTAAGTTTAGTTAAAAGCGCAGGCTTTCATCAAATACTTTAATTTTATTCCAAATATATATGTTTATATACATATATTTTTTAAAATAATATTCCTAATATCTTTTTTATTTATCTCTTTAATTATTGGTTTTCAAATATTAAACTGATTAATCATATAAAATAAAAAAATAAAAATAATCGCTACAAACACAAACTAATATGTTCTGATATTAAAATTAAGAATTTTACGAGAAAGTTTGACTTTTAAAATAATCATGCAATAAATATAATAATATTAATTTTAATAATTATACAATTATAATAATAAAATTAGAGAAATATTTTAAATAAAAATTTTTCGTTATTAATTTTTTTTTAAATCAAATTACGTACTTCTAAAATGATATTTAATATTAATTCTTACATACGTTTTCTTATAAATAATGTTTATAAAATCAGATATCCTTAAAAATTATATTTTTATTATTTATATCTTTATTTATACCTTTTTTTCGTTACTCAATTGTTTCTAAATTTACACAATATTGTTACCCTAACTTGCCATATGCGTTCCCAGAACTTGACATTGAGTTTAGGCTGTTAGCCAAATTTAGCTTAACCTAAACCGAACCAAGAATTTCGGACACATTTATTCGTTAACATTGTGTAGGATAATGTCTAAAATACAAATATATATTATAAAAAATACTTGTATTTGATAATACGTATAATCAAGAAAAATAATTTTACCTTTTTTTTTAATTTTACACGTTTCTTTATTTGTATTACATTCTCTTATATGATGGAATAATCTTATATAATATAAAATATAAAAGAAAATGTAAAAGTAATTGTAAATAATTACTTATGAATACAGTAATTTTACAATGTTTTGTTACAATATGTATATTAAATCTTCAGAATTATTCTCGTTTAAATCCGTCGATAATACTATAGATAAGCAAACATGATATAAAAACGAAAGTGACAAGAATGTTGGTTCAATTTCCCGGTTTATGAAGACTTTTTTTAGTTTCCATGAATGTAGTTAAAATAATATTTATTCAACCGGAAATATAACTCGTACTGTCGTTCTGCACGCTCGACGACTCTTTGAGTTTTTACACGTCAGATTTCTCTGTGATGGTAAGGATATGATGATATACTCGTCCTCTTTCAGGCTTTGCGAGATTATAGGTATCTCGTTCTGTTTCGTAAACTCAATGGTTTCACTCAAAAGTTCTTTCGGCAGTACCATTCGATGTTCTATGCTTCACGATCACAACTCTCTTGCTTCCTCTCAGCATCGTCGAATATAGTCGTAACGAATACGAATAGTGCTTATGGAATATGTTAAGAACGCTATGAATACGGTGATAATCACGTTCTTGTTTCTATTATTTAGCCAAGACATGGATTCAAACGATGATGTAGTTAAGTCCAAATAATTTAAGAAGCTGGTATTATCTAATGAACAAATTATATAATTTGTTTCCAGCTACAGGTCCTGCAGGAGAAAGGAGTTCTTGACTTGGCTTGGACATTACTGTATTGATGTTTCAAGACTAGTTACGCTTGATTGCGCATTGTGAACCGAATTTAGGATACGTCATTTAAATCCGGCAGAGTGATCACAATGTTTTCGACTTTTCTCACGAAGAAATTGTGAAATTGATATTGCAAGATCGATCATGCAACATCAATATCGAGTATATTTGATTCGAATATTTTAAGTAAATTGATTAATTATTAAAAATTTGTTAATTATATATTGAATTGGTTAATTTAACAAAATAATTATTATTCCTATCATGTTATAGATACAATGGTAGGAAATATATTTGAAATTGTCACTGTTAATATTAAATAGTTAGTTTAGTTAAATAGTTACATTGTAATTACATTAGCATTCATTATGTTTAATATAGTTTTGTCTGCAAATTCTTAATCTGTTTTATTTCCTTTAATAAAAAATGTAAATGTCTTATAAATTTCGAAGATAAGAAAAATAGTTTTTCTTAAGATTTATTTCTTCTAGATCAAATTTATTTGTTTTGGTATACAGGATGATTATTTTTTCTTCTCAAAAACATGTTAATGTATATGCGTGTACTTGTATCCGGTTGATTGGTTAATCGTTTGATTACAATAAGTCCTCGCGTAAACGTCCACTGGTGGTGAGTTGTGCCGCCTCTGCCTACTTTTCATATCTAATCCGTAATACTATATTTATTTTAATAGTTCAAAAACTAAGCTTCGGACAAAATTTTAGAAAAGGAAAAATCGTCTGAGAATGAAGTCAGGAATACGACATTTTAAGAATAAAAAATTATTTCGAATCACCCTGTATAAGTATATTTAACAATTTTACATGTTTCAAAATAATAATATAATGTATCTAATGACCAGTGATTTTTTAATGACGTTAATTTTCGTATAATACTCTGGTTTGCTTATTTTGTCATTTTAATACTATGATTTAATCTTATCAAAATACATGAACGAGGAATGAACTGATTACACTGCATAACAACGCAACTAACATAGAAGCTTCCGATATATGTATATGGAAATTATATTCAATTATATCTACTTTAAAACAACATGTAATTATGGCAGATAATAAACGAATATCGATTTTATGCATCGTAGTGACTGTTTAAATGTTTTACATTGATAAATTAACGAGAAGAAATTGAATAAAAATATTTCAAAAATATTTAATATTGACGCTATAAGAGAAGACTTAAATTTTATTTGTACAGTAATTTATATAAATTGTTTTATTTATATAAATTGTAATTAAAATAATATGTTAAATTTCCAAGAAAATTATATTAAAAATAAATTTAATAAAGAATATGGATTATATAAAATAATATTAAATTACTTTTTAATATAATATCATAAATTAATACAATATGACATATCTAAATTAAAAAAGTAAAATAAAATTTAATATTGTAATACACAATTATAATTT